TTTGGCATTTATATTAACTGTTATTAGCTTATTGCATGGACAAGGACAAAATCTACCCATGACTATGCCAATCCAGAATTATTGCTTAAAGGACACTTTTCCAAATTTAAATCTATAGTATGTTCCATTTTTTTTTCAGAAATGGAACATAAAGCAGTGCTTCTCAAACCTTAATGCTCACGTGAGATCCTGGGAATCTTACTGAAATGTAGATTCTAATCCAGAAAGTCTGGGGTAAAGTCAGGAATCTCCATGTCTAACAATCAACCAGGTGAGGCAGTGATTGCAATCTGGATATCAAGGGAATACAAAGGAATCAAATTTTTTTCAATCCTACATTTCAAATAAAACATTGCAATGTCACGACACATGTATGTGGAACGCTCACTAAATTGGAGGTCTTAAGCCTGGCATCAGGGAACTATGCAGTGAACAAAAGTAGTCAGGGTCCCTTCCCTTAACACTAAAGTAAAAAATGTAGGTGTGAAATAAGCGAGTACAATCTGATGACTGTGATAAAAGAAAATGCAGGGTGCTACAGGAGCACAGGCCATGTCCTTGTGCACTACAGCATGGGAATGAATCCCGGAAGAGACACCATGGAGCTAAGGGATGGGCCTCTGATGTCTGAGGAAGGTGTTTCCAGCCTTTCTGTAGTGTTAGTTAGCATCTACTCACAATCCCTCCATGTGCTCCAAGACCCTGCCCAAGAGAGCTCTGAAGGGGCAGTAAATGAAGGTACATGAATGCTTTCCAGGGACTGGGTAGATATTTAATAACACAATTAAGTCAATATTCTTACTCTAGCAAGTAACTATTTTTTTAAAAAAATTCAAATAATTTAAGCAAGAACAGAGAATTTGGCCCATGTACCTAGGAAAACTCTGGAGCCTCAGGGATAAAGAAGTTGAATGTATTTTCATGCATCCAACCTGCTAACAAACTTCTTTAACATGACCAGGGTATGGTAAATATTTCAGTAGTAACATGGTTGCAGATAACACCAAGCTTTTATCCTAGATAATGTCCCTAGAAAAAATAACGTTTTCCTTTCCAAGCAACTGTATAAAATTCCAGTGAAGGGTCTCATTAGGCCACCTTAGGTCACATGATAATCCCTAAGCCAATCATAATACCTCCCCAGTGGGTTAGGGATGCCCTGATTAGCCAGAATGGGTGCCTGCCTCTGTAGGATGCCATCTTCGACTTTCCCACCAGAAGACAGGCGTGCAGGAGAGGCAATTCCCTGAGGAAGCTGACTGCATGGACAAGGACAAAATCTACCCATGACTATGCCCATCCAGAATAATGTCCACTCTTCTTAGATCCAACAGCTCAGCTCTAACAACTTGGAATACAAAACACCAAATCAGAGAATTAAAAATATCACAAAGCATTACTTTTTTTCCTCTTGTGGGGACAATTTATTTTAATTTAGTTTTTTTAAAAAATGAAACTGGGCATAGTGGAGCATGCTATAATCTCAGCACTCTAGGAGACCAAGACAAGAGGACTACCAATTCAAACCAAACTGAGGCAAATTAGCAAAAATGTATTTCAAAATAAAAAATAAAAGGTTAGGGGTGTAACTCGATTTGAATGCCTTGGGTTCAATTTCCAGTACGGGGAAAAAAAAAAATAGGAGACTGAGGAATATGGCTGAGTGGTAGAGCTTTTGCCTAGCATGTTCAAGGTGCTAGGTTTGATCTCCAGCCCCACAAATAAATAAAAATTTACAAATAAAAATACTTTGATTTTTTAAGTCCTTTTTAAATTTATCAAGACACCTGAAGTCATTCTCTGGCTTGAAAGTTTCAATCATGATATTTACTATGCAGCATTTCACTTTAGAACATTTAAGTCACGAGAGACTTTGGATAAGAGGTAAAAGTTGCTGTATGGTTTCTGAGTGTGTATGCTAGAAACAGTAGAGCATTGTCTTTCTGTGCACATAATGCACTGGGCAGAATCTGCTGAAGATTTTCCTTCACCAGTATTTGAGAACCAACACAAAGCAAGGCAATGCTGCAGGTTCTAGAAATGCAGAGTTCATGGGCAGAGGAGGAGATAGATATATATGTATAATTTGCTTTTGCTGGGAGCCTTAAGTGCTGAAGTAGAGCTGTGGACTGAGGAGTTGGGCCTTTGTCATAAAAACGCTCTTGTCGTGACATCTGAAAGGATGTCTGAAAGGATCTAGGAAGGGATCTCTTGAGCAGGAGCTTACAAGTTTAGATGTGTGCTTTACAGCGATCACTAGGATACTAAATGGAGAATGAGTTGCGGAGAAAGAAAGGCATAGTGACTGACCTGGAAGGCTTAGCAATAGCTGAACCAGAAAAAATGGGTCCTGAGTCACATGTCCATGGCCTTGGCAAGAGTGTGGACATACGATCTAGGAAGGCTGGAGACAAAATCAAGAGACATTTTGGAGATAGAACAGATGGGCCATGCTGTGAACATCCTTATGAGGAGAAGACAAAGTGGCTTCAATGAGACGAATGGAAAAAACAATTCATGATTGACCCAGTGATCTTTGCTAATGTAACTTTATAATGGAATCTTCCAGAGTGGATGATGTTGACTCAAGGGGACTGAGTATATATCATGGCAGTCTCACAGAAGAAATTCTGTTGAATTTTTTAACATTGGAGTCTTTGGTCTATGCGCCATTGTTCCAGGGGGCAGTATACTCTGGAGAGCATAGTATCTGCCTGCTTCGCTTTCTGTTCCTCCTCATGGATTTTTCAACACAAACCCCAAATCATATCAAATTGCTATAGGTTCATTATTTTTGGTAATGACGTAGTGAAACACTGGCATCTTCGGTGACACATCAGTGGCTGGAACTCGGTAATAAATGGGCTTTCCATCAGTCATATTCATCTCTCATATGATATTACAGGGACTGGCAGTCTGCTTGCTGGAACCAGCGATGGTCAGGTTATTTAAGGGCTAATTGGAATGTCTCTTGCTCCTGGATGCTTCTCTTCCTTGGCTGAGATAAACATGCAGAGGAATTCTCTTTTTGTTTTTCTGTAGTCACATTTAACTCTCTCTCTGGAAGCCAAGCAGATTTAATTGTGTAAACATGAGCAATGGTAATTGGGTAAATGAAGTTGGAAACCAAGGTATGATGTTTTTGTTTTGCTCTGTGAGGAAAAAAATAGGGAACTTGTTTTTCTATGGTGGCAAACCTCACTGTCAGAATTCTGGACAGACAGTTGGCAGGAGGAAGTTCGTGTATGAATTTCTTATCAAGACCCATTGAGCAGAAATATATATCTGCTGCCTGGTAGGTTATGCATAGACCCCCGGGGTGCTTCATTGCTTTATTAATCACTGGATCCAGTGATTTCATACACGCATCCATTACTTTGATGAGGATGAATAAGGAAGGACTTTGCTTGAGATTTGCCCACTCAAGTAACAAGTGTTCATGTCAAGAGCGACAAGGATATGTAACAGAGATCTGCCCAACATCAGACAGGGCTATCAGCAAAAAAAGAAAAGGCACAAAGGCCTTCTAACCTCCAAACAGTTAGCAGTGGCCTTTCTTTTAATCACTATCATTTATAAATGATTTTCTGATTTCTGTTTACATATACTCTCTCCTGACCAATTAAAAAAACTAATAACACTTTTTTTTTAGCCCTGTATTCAAGACATTAAAATGGTCTGGCAAGAAAAGGATCCTAAGAAGCGTGCTTTTAATGGATAGTTTTGCCAGAATATTATATTTATCCATATCCTCATTTTTTCTATTAATGTCACTAGAATTACGTTTCCTATATGCCTGCAGTACAATTCATTTTGCCAGTTGAAAATTTAAGTAAACCAAGAAGCAGTCTTGGCAATGAAGTATGTCCCTCTCGCCGTGCAGATTGTGTTTGAAACCAGAACTATTAGAAAGGAGCAGGTCCAAGGTTAATGAGACACTCATTAAAGAGAGAGGAGCGTGGAAGCTGCCCGTACTCTGTGCCTATAAGGAAGGAGAGGCTATTGTTATGGGATGTTTTCAGTGCTGATATTGTAAGCCACATGACAGATGGGTCAAGTGCTGATTACGGTATTCTAACATTTGGAATAGCAAGTAACATATTTGATAAGCTGGCAAGTTTTTATATATGATTCAACCCACAATATAAAAGCCACGAGAATTCCAAATCAAAAATAATTAAATGAGCTGGAAACAATCAGATACCACACATTTTTCCCCAAAATGGCAGATTTTGACATGTTGAAATTCCACAAAGGGAGCAAGAATATTTCCTAGCTCACTTGAACTAATAATGGTCTTTCATCTGCTTTGGTGAAGGAATTGATTCCAGCCTTCTCATGAGTTGGAGGTAAAAATAAACATTTGTGGGCATTTGTGGGTACCTTAGGCTGTGCAGAAATCTATCCCTTCCCTTGTTTGATTTACTCTTGTCCACAACCCTGCCAAGTACACAGACAAAGGTAATAATGCTCCCAGTTTCTAGATGAGAAAGCAACACCCACGTAGGGTTTAGAAGTAGGTACCAGGTTGCACAGAAAGCAGGTCGTCTGTGCAGGGTGAGAAGTCGAGTGTCCAGCTGTTGTCACTTCATGTCCTGTTCCTGGTCATCTGAAGAAAGAAGCTGCTATTGACATATAGGTGGTCTCCATGGTATAAATGCATATCTTCTTAAGGTCAGCACTGCCGCCTCATCATTTGGGTGTATCCTTCTGGATAAAGCATCCAGTATTTGCATTCGGCCTCTGAGTGTCTCGGGAGGGGTGGTACTGGAGACACTGGTAAGAAGAGTCCTTGTCCAGTAATGTCACACCTCCGTAATGTCACAGTGGTGCCCAGAAAGCAGCAGCTCTCCATTCGTGTTTTATCAGTTTCGCTTGTTGGGTTGTTCTTTTCAGAGTGTGTCATTTGACTTGTCACCCTTTGTTAAAGTCATTTTGTGTCTTTACCTCTTTTTTTGTTTTTTATTTTTACTGCTGTCTCTCTTCACCTACCTGAGCAGCTCCCTCTCCACCTGGGCCTCCTCCTCCACCCACCCAAACGCAGATGAGCGCATTATATCAGAGGCTCAAAGGCATGCCTAGGCCGAAATCAAGTACTGTAAACCTGTCATTCTTTTACTCGGCAGCTTTCTAGTTTAGTTTGCTTTTCTGTTAACTTTTCTTCTTGAAATTCTGTTTCCATTTGGAATACTGAGCTGAGGTTCAGGCTCTCGAGTTTAATATTGTAGGTTTTGAGATCCTTGAAAGAGAGCATTTATTTCCAAATGTCCACATTTTTTGTCTAGCTATGTCTGACATATGCAACATTTTCAAACCTCAATGTCAGCACAAAATAACGTTGTTGCATAACATTTTGCATGACAATTTTTATATGTTATGAGCTTCAATTCTGTTGTATGAAATGTTTCCTGAGTATAATGTATTTTTAGTTTCGTCAGTGCTCCAGCTAGTGCAAGATTGGGGGATAGGAATATTGCAGTACATTTCAAGACAGCAGAAGTGACAAAAAAAATCATTTTTAAGCACAAACTTCTCCTTGACCTCTTTGGGTGGGGAAGGAGGAAGTGCTGAAAGATTTTGTACAATATTTTCTTTAAAGACAACATCTTAGAAAAATCATGTCTAGTACATTTTTGCCATTTAGCTAGTAAATCAGCTATGCAAACAAATGGGAAAATAGTGCTGTGTTTCGCTAAAATGGCTTGATCTACAGATAATGGAATCACAACTAATTAATAGTAAATGAAAGTCTGGCTACATGGGTTAATTGGCAGATCAAGTGTTCTAGATTAAAGGATCCTTAACCTTCTTATTTTAATGGTTGCAGGTTAATGTAACATTGCAAAAGATTTTATTAAACATACTGTCTGTATATATACATCAGGAATACACATATCTGCGTACATGTGCACACCCTCATAGAATGGCTGCCTGTACATGCACGCTTTATGTGTATCTATTGATATATATTGTAGTCAATCTAAGAGTACTGCATATTAAAACAAATCTTCAGGTGGTCCTAGCTTAAGCATCTTGGAATTCTCCAAACTTACAAATAAATCATATTTTTAAATAGATGTACATAAAAATATTGGTGGGAATCTTTTCCTTTCTGTATCATATGTCATCTACAACCAGAATTCCCTAGATTTGGTGTGTATTCCACCCAAAAGGACAATGCTGTCAGTTCTTAAAGTGAGAGATTTCATAGATGTACCGCAAGTGGGATTTCCTGCAGATTTGTATTAATGTACAGGCTTGTCTGGTTACTAGAAAATGTATGTAAGTATGTGATGTATGTATGTGGGTGTATGTGTCAAATGGGTAATAAGCATAGGATGAGGAATTTGCACGTTGATGTGTAAACATGAGTATCAACTAATAAAAAGAGTAGCTTGTGCATATTTACTATCAAAATGCAAATACCTCACTCTACACCTATTACCCAAACATATATACGCAGTATGTTTGTAGAAATGCCTGAAAGTCACTGATGAAATTATGATAGTCTACTTACAAAATCACAAACAGGTCAGGTGCCCCAAAAAGCATAGAAGTCAATGTTGCCACTCATTCTCTTTCCTCTGTTTATTGTTCAAGACCAGCTAATGAGCTGTTGGCACCTAAACTCCCGTGTCTCCTTGCTGGGTGTTTGCTCTTTTCTATCTGATCTGTACACTTCCACTCCTCACAGCTCCTACTTTCATGTTCAGAAAAGATCTGGCCCCATTGCCAGAGATCATAGCAGAGATGATGGAGATTCCATTAACCTGAAATACACAAAGTCCATTTTCTCACCAGCCTTTGGGCCAGGTTGGACAGAAACTTTTACCATCGAGAAATCTTACCCAGTCCCACTGATCTGTCTTAGCTCCCACTGACAAGACCTAAGCATTTCACTGAATTTTCATTACAATTCAATCCTAAATTGTAATGATTTTGCATGTTATCACCTAGCTAAGAAATGCCCAAAGTGAAATTATAAGATCTTTTCTTCAAATTACTCATCCCCTATGATTTTGTTTCTGTGCTTTCTTTTGTCCCAACAAAGCAAAACCTTCCCATGAAATATTTGGTAATTCTCTTTAGCAAGAAGCATTGAGGTGTCAAAACATTCCCACTTCAGATGAAAACATATTTCAGCAGTGCTTTTGTAAATATTTATACACATCCTGTGGAATCACGCTAAATGATTCTTTCAATGATTTTTTTTTTTGTACCAGGAATTGAACTCAGGATCTCATGCTTGCCTGGCAAGCACTGTGCTGCTAAGCTATATCCCCAGCCCTTAAACAACCCTTATTTCCATTAGACCTTCTCAAAGTCTGCTGGGGACTAAGCACAGAATAGATTCTCCTTTGAGTTCAGAATGACTGAATTCAAGCCATCTCATTGACTCAGAGAAAACATGTATGTTCTAAATAGTACTCTTTTCCCAGAGGAAAATACTTTGCAATGTTTTGGAACTTAGTGATGTTACCAAATATTCATCAACTCAGTTCCAGGACGGTGCTACATAAGCCCTGGTTTGTGGTTTCTTCCAATAAATTAAAATATAACCTCGTCAGCCAAGAGAAACTAAATAGAAACTAAAAAGATCAGTCCATTGTTGCAATGTAAGTGTGAAAATCTCAAGAATAGCAACCAGTGGCACAAACTACCTACACATTATGCAATAATCCATTCCCAAGATCCTTTTAAATAATTTTATCCTGCCTTACATGTAATGGTCAGGAATGTCTATCTCTTCCCTGGATAAGTAGAAACAAAGAAAGCTTTGAATCCACATTTTCAGAATGAAGATGTGTTCAACATGCAGACCTGCAAAACGAAAGGATGCTATAGTTCAATGTTTAGAGACCAATCTAGAAAACAATGTAGCAGACATCAAGATTAAGGTTCTGTTACACATCTTCCCATATCCGCTAGCCCAAACACAGTCTAAAGTAATGTAAGATAGTACATGCATGCTGTCTTTAAAGAACATGTATACAAAATGTCACTAAATTTGAAATGGGCTGTCATAGACTTAATATAGCTTCATATGCAAATTGGAAGCTGGAGCACTGTTTTTTCCTATTATGTATTAGAACTATGGTGATAATAACAATAAAATGGCTTTATGGTTTGCTCACTACTAATTACATGGCACTGAACATTTGCATGAAATTTTTTTAAAAACTTGATAACTATTCAAACTTTCTTATCCACTAGTTCTAACGGCCACTAGACTAGCATGCCACTTTCGCTGAATTTTAACACAAATTCTTGTACTACAGAAAATGTAGGCCGGTTAATCACTCCTGCCAAAAAGCTCGAAGATACAATACGTCTTGCTGAACTAGTCATTGAAGTTCTTCAGCAGAATGAGGAGCACCATGCAGAGGTGAGCAGGCTCTGTGGGAAATGTCTCTCAGTGACCTTTAGCTCAAGTAAAGCGGACTGTCCACCAGGTTGTGAATAAGATGCCTTAACTCCCATTTTCTTTTAACCGGGCTTGCAAAGAGAATGGAAGTAGAAGTTTTGGAAAGAGAAGCCTTTGTAAGGTTGTTTCAAACAGCCAAAAAGTGTTTTCATGTCGTACATTTCAGCCTCAATTTTCAGATGTTTTTAGCCATGAACAAGGAGGGGCGTGCAGCATCTGGTTAACCCTCGTCCAGAGCACACAAAATATTTTTTGGTCTCTTGTGGTTGTTTTTGTTGCCACCACTGTTGTTTTGATTGGTTCTTTGGTGTGTGGATCACAAGCCATCTTTTAAACTTATCTCTGTAACTTACTCTGCTTGTGCTAGTCTTCATTAGCTTTAAACTTAGGTTGCCTCGGTTACTGAATGTAAGTGACAGAGCAAATTATTCTGTGTTGTTCAATTTGTCAGTTCTCTCACATGCACGCAGGTAAACACAGCTTAGGTTTTTTACAAGCCACTACTAAAATGATGATTCTGATAATAATAATAATAAGCAAAAGAATTTCAAGCCAACTAACTCCCAAACCAATAAGGACTTAAACAACCTGCACTTCCAAGCAATGATCATCATGGTTAAACAGTTATGTCACTGCTCACTTCAAACTGAGCTTTCAAATCGTCACTTGAAATAACCTTTTTGAAAAATACACTAATTCTCCCTCTTCTTCTACATTCAGATTTACAAGGAAAGGGGAAAGGGATGCCATCACCGTAATCTCTGTCACCCAAAGTGATCATACCCATGCCTAAGTGAGAGTTGACCGAATAGTTAAATAATATATAACACACCATAAATCCAACCATCCCTACTAATGCCTGATTGCATATTTAAATTTCCTCCCTGTTTCTCTACTGTTCCACTCAATCTTGGCTGATCGTGGCAGGGGAAAGAGGTATGTGACTAAACCGAGCAAAGCGGCCACCTGCTGTCTTCCTCTGTGCATGCCCCTCCAGTACCATGTCTTCTAATGGGACTTTTCCCAGTGCTCCTGCTTCCTAACACTGACCCAAGGAATGTAACAGCACCTTCTAGTGGGCTGCTTGTGACATGGGTGGCCCTCCACGCAGGGTAAATGTGGGGTGATTCTCTTGTGCGTGCATGAAGCGATTGATACAGTTCCGACGACTGCAGTTACATCCTGATACACGCCTCCCACCTGCCTTGATTCTGTCCTTAGCCTGTGGTAGTTTTCTATGTCCGTCTGTATTCACCTTTATTACAGCAGGCAAGTACTGAGCTTAGCAACTAGTAGCTCATCAGAGTGATACTAATCTTCTCTACAGCTGTCTGTATGTGAGTCATATATACAGTATTTATATATAGAGAGAGTGTCATAGAATAATGTATTCCCTGAAAACCTTCTGGGAATGGGATACAACCCCCCACCACCAAGGAGGGTGTACTAATCATTCAGCACCTAGCAACTATGTACAGCCGGATGCAAGGAAGGAAGCAAATCACCCTCCATCCACACATACCTAGGACTGACTTCCAGACACATGAAATTAAACTGGCTTAGGATTTTTTCTACTTTTTTGTATGAGTGGGGCTTTTGAGGTTCAAGTGACAGGAGTATGTTCTCCTGGGTGTCTTCAGTACTGTCTCTGGAGGCTACCAGGGCCCTGCCTGCCTACAGTGCAAGTGGTTGAGACCTTGCCCATATCCACACACTTTTGAAGACATGGATAAAATCAAGATGGGTCCTCCCAGTTATGGTTGTGCTTTTAAGTAAATAAAAGAAGAAGAAAAACAACAGATACGTTCAATTTACAGTCAAGTTGTTATCTGAGGTCCTTACGGGCAAAGAAAGATTATGTATTTGCCTAAATGTCTCAAAATAAGCACCAAAGGAAATTTATTCCAAAGAAGATTATTTTTTTACTTTTCCAAAGAATCCTTTTTTACTAAGGATTAATCATTATGCTATACTACTCAGTAGCCAAGCTCAGAAAACATTTTAATCGTATGTATTCAGACCTTACCCAGGTAAAGCAATAAGCTAGATATAATTTTAATTGTGTCCCCATTACCTCTTTAGAAGTCAGTGATGAAAGTCTCAGCATACTTGGGAGTTACACATAACAATTTTCTTTTAGATAAATGAATAGGATTGTTTCCCAGGTTAGTCGTTTTGCCCACCGCGAAAGCGTGCTGCCCACCTGAAGTGAGCCCCGCGCAGCGCTTTCTGAAGCACAGGAAACAGGAAGTGCTGGGTGCAGAGTGCGGGAGGGCGGACGGAGCCTGCGTGCCAGAGAAGCTCAGGTCTGAGTCCAGCTTCACCTCCTCCCTCCTCCACGACCTTGACTGGCTGCTTGCTCCCGGGAAGCCGTCCTTTGGAGATGATAGAGAATGACATCATTAGGCTGGAAGGCCATGTTAAGCTGAGCATCTGGCATTTTTCCTGGCACATAACAAGCCCTCAACAAAATTTGGCTGATGTGGCACTGGGGGAAGATTCCTAAGGAAGCAAACTGTATGAATATCTGATGATAGAAAGGACGAAGCTCTGTGGAAAGTACCAAATGAATGAGCATGGACAGAAGATGTCAAAGGAAGAGGTAGATTGCCTGCATGGCAGGGTGGTCAGGAACCACACGCCCACCTGTTCGCAGCTTGCTCTCACAGACTGCAGTCAGCAGAAGGAGGTCCTAGCAGTGCTGCCCCAGGGGTCACCTTAACTCCCTTGGTTGGTATCTTCCAGAGAGGGCTGAGCTCTAGAAACTTCCCAGGGGACTACAGTATGCAGCCTGGGTGGAGAGAAACAGGGACCCAGCAGCCAAGGTAGAAGTTCCTCTGGAACCCTGCAGGTGGCGTTTCCTTTCAAAACAGGATGAAGACTTTTTTCCACTACCTATATTCTCTACGGGTTCAGTAAATTCTAAAAGAAAGGCGCTCAGTCCTAAATGCAGATCTTAACTTCAAGGCAACGCTGTTGGTTGGTACCACACAGACAAAAGTGATAAGCAGACCTACCTTTCCCTGCAATAAATAAATAAATAAATAATCTTTAAATCCATGATTAATTCCTGTACAGAACAATTAAATGTCCCTAGAGAAAAGATTTTCATCAACTAATAACACCTGACGCTATTCCCAATGCAGGATATGGTAACAGCTGTCATATTTCTCTTTTGCTTGCAACTTAATTCTGTTTTATGAGCCTGACCTATTCACATGCACATGAATTCATGTACTGTTGCTGCTCCTTCCCAATCTCTCTCTATGTATATGTATGTATATGTATATATGTATTGTGGTTTATAGAGGGGTACATATATACATGTTAGTTTGTGTGCAAAATACACAGTGTGTTCAGTGTGGTGAACCGTACCCTAAAGCACACAACTTTGTCTTTGAGTAACAAAATGCACTGGGTAAGTATGCAGAAATTAATGTGTAACTCTTTATTATCTTTGGAAAAGATGTATTGAGACTTCAGGTGCCCATGCCCATTGTGTGCAAGTTCATCTATAAAAGTAGCATTCACCTTTAGGAGCAAACATAAATATATATATATATATATATATATATATATATATATATATATATATATATAACTGGGACTATACTGCAGCTTTTTGGTTATTACTGCCCTTGCTAGAATCTCTCATCAGAGACTCAGATTTTATTTTAAAGTTCTCAAAAGAATTACTTTAGATATACAAAAATAGCTCAGTTTTTACTTTTACAAGTTCCAAATTTAAATTCTCTTAGTTCACCAGAATTCTGCATTTCATCCATCAGGTCCCATACTGATAATTCATAACCCAGAAGTCAAAGAGCTACCGATCCATACAATTATTGCTACAAGGACTATAAGTACTTACCCAATAACACATAACATTACAACAAGAGACTGAGTTCTCTGTTGATAGTAGATGTGGTGCTTCTTATGGTCCCTGGTTTACAAATTTTAAATTAAAAAGCTGGTAAGAACCAGATATCAAGTTGGACTAAGAAATTTTTAATTTCAGGCATTTGTGGTTAGCTTTGGTTTTGGTTTGGTTTTTCCTGTCACCCTGGAATAAGAGGTATGCTGTAAGAAGGCAGCACAGCCTTCCCAGTAACTGTTTTCTTCAACGCATACTGAAGATACAAAATTGATCATTTAATTCCAGAGTAAATACTAGTTGGGCAAGGTGGCCCACACCTATAATCCCAGCTCTCAGGAGGCTGAGGCAGGAGGATCACTGCAAATTCAAAACCAATCTGAGCTACTTAGTGAGTTCAGGGCCAGCTTGGACTGCATAGCAAGACACTGTCTCAAAAAATAAATAAACAAATATTTAGAAACCAGGGGAAAAAAGAGGTAATAAGTACTACTCAAAATTTGGCATGCTCTTGTGGGCTCTAAAAATATCCTGGAACAGGATTGATGAAACTCAGCCTTCCATGTAGGGTTAGGGGTGGGAATGGGACTTCAGTAGATTCTAGTAATTAAATGGCCTCTACCTAAAAGCCAGAGAGGTGGGAACCCTCTGGGTGGGATGAAGGATTTCTTTTTCTGCTGGATTAAGCCAAGGAGGCAGTGGATGAAGCCCCAGGCCCCAGGGTAGTAAAACTACAATAAAACCTCATCAGTTCAGACCCAAATACAATCTGATTGCAGATAATTTAACTGCAGAGATAGTTTTTCTACTTTTTCTTGAATAAGTCTGACATGATCTCAACTCCCTTTTGAAATTCTAAAGATCCCTTCATACACATTAAAGTTATCTAGTACTTTTTCCATCGTGAGATTTGACATTAAATCTATCTTTTAAACTTCAATGTGTAAGTCAACTCATCTACAATTATCAGTATGAAAAAGTTTATCCATGCATGATACAGACATACACTAATTCAGACACTGTGAATATTATGAATATACTTTACTTCGGTTTCCCATTACAGACCACATTCAAAGCAGTAAAATGATACCTGTTTTTAGAAAGCTCAACAATTGAGGGGTTTTTTCATTGTTGACAGACCAGCATTTCTAGATTCTCTACTCTGAATCAGTGAGGTTTTACTGTAAATTAAAAAGGAAACAGCAGGTGTCTATTTCCAGCCAAGCAGACCTTGCAGAATGATCCATGACTTGATTTTTTCCATTTAATTTGCAAACCAGCCACATGTTGATAAAGGAGAAGTAAGTAAAGTGAAATCTCATGAAAGAAGAGAGGCGAGCCCCTAGTCTGCCTCCTAGTGGCTGTTAGAATATCCCTTTGATTACCAATAGATCACGGAAAAGCTTGGCCATTGAACAAACCCTTTCATTTATGGAATTATTTCCATAATCATCTTTCATGTTTCCAAATGCCTTCCCATCCTTTTTTTGGTGAATGCTCTGGAACGTGTTTCAAATGTAAATACTTAACAGCATTGAATGGGGAGGTGGGGAACAAGAGAGGCTGGCAGTTTGTTTTTGTTTTACTGCTCTCTTTGAAATCAGCAAACAGGGCCTGTTGACACCGTCACTCATTCTGCATGCTCCCTGCCAGAAATGATTAGTCAACATGCATGCATGCCTTTGAATTGCATTCACATCTGGCCCCGTCTGATGTGAATGTCACCCCCGAGACCGTGCACAATGATGTTCAAGGGCTCACGTGCATGCAAATGAGTTACTTCACTGATATTTTTTGGTTTTCAATGTACATATGTGTCCAACCCCCAGAAACGTAAGTCCTGATCTTACTTGGTGTTCCCCAGCCTAAACCTGATCTTTCCTCCAGAGTGGATATAAAACCAAAGGCTCCTTCGCAGATAGAGAATTCACCTCGAAACGTCTGTGATAATTGTAACAATGGTTTCCTCTGACTTCATATGAAATAGGAGTAATGTTCTTATTGTGTAGGGAAACATTAGTCCCTGAGTTTGTAGGAGACCGAAGGCAATTGAGCCCCAGCTCTATAGATATGTGAATGATAACTGCAAATTTTCAAGTTAGACCAGCAGAAAACCCATAAACACAGTGAAGAAACTCCCAAATTCTAATACCTTAGAGCAAGAACTAGCCAACAGCGATGATCCAGCGCATGACTACTGAGTTATTGTAAATTGAACAGAAGTTCCACATCTGTCATTTCTATGGCTGCATTCTCTGACTCGTGTGTCAGAAATAAAGGCTCTCTGTGGCAGGAATTCTGAAGAGCCCTGCCCTGGACTCAGAGTCCCATTTGTATCCAGAATGCTGTTCTCTTTACAATAAAATGACCAAACCCTGCTGGATGCACAAGCCGTCTGAGACAGTGAGGGCTGCAGTTCATATCCTGTGTCCAGCGAAGAAACTCATTACCTCTCTGTCTCCTGTTTTTCTGCCAAATTCCAAAGGCCTTTGCGTGGTGGTCAGACTTAATGGTGGAGCATGCAGAGACGTTCCTGTCACTGTTTGCGGTGGACATGGATGCAGCCTTAGAGGTGCAGCCTCCCGACACGTGGGACAGTTTTCCAGTGTTTCAGCTGCTGAATGATTTTCTCCGTACCGACTGTATGTATCATCTTTGAATGCAAACTTTCTTGTGTGTTCTGCAGATAAACACGGTGCTGAGATGTCTTTATTCCAAGAAGACTGCAGGTCAGATAGTGTTCTTCCTAGTTACATTGTTAGCAAGCACACACATGCACAGGCATCCCGACCCTCTAGCTGATGGGTGTCCCCAGCAGAGAGAGTTCTGTTGCAGGGAAGCCCTCATCTACCTAAACAGAAGACCAGAGTAGCACGAGAAGGGACCATTCCTTGTATTTTACTTGCACTGGAACAAATTAGTTAGCTTCACTTCTTCACATTTTGTAAGCTTCATCAAAAGATGCTTTCTGGATGAAAAACAATTTCTAGCTAAATCACACTGCAAGCATTTCTTTGTGTTTTATAGCAACAGTAGCAATAAAATAGACCCTCCCAGGAAAAGCTGTGAAGGAGAAGCTGGAGTAAAGAAGGTTCTTTCTTCCTGCTAACTGAAAGACAGGAAGAAGAGTGGATACAAAGAAACCATAAAAAATGATGTGGATTATTGTTTGTGTTATTTGTTTTTTAAGGAGAATGATTATTTTTCCTTTTAGAAGAATGACATAAAAGAGTAAAGTTTTTAATTACATTCCCCTTACAAACAAAATTTAATATGAGCTTCAAGGTTGTTCGTGTTCTTTTTTATTTTTCTTCTTCTTCTTCTTCTTTTTTTTTTGGCTTCCTTCAAAGCAGGATATTGAACATAGAAGACAATCATCTCTTTGTGTACATTGTACTTTGATAAAGCAATTATGGGTTCTTACCACACTTTTGCTTATCTGTTCTAGATAATTTGCGCAATGGAAAATTTCACAAACACCTGCAAGACCTGTTTGCTCCACTTGTTGTTAGATATGTGGATTTGATGGAGTCCTCAATTGCACAATCCATTCACAGGGGCTTTGAGCGGGAGTCATGGGAACCAGTCAAGTAAGGACACCTCTTTTGATACTATTGGAATTTGGGTACAGATGGCTGGAGAGTCATGCAGAAATGGATTAATGGTGTCACATGATTTTCATTGTTAATATGGACAGAAAGCAAACATCATACATATTTCCTACTACACTACAACGCTCAGAGCATCTTTGACTGAATGGAGGGTAGGGAGGAGGGTGAGAAATGGTTCATGAAGTGTACTTTTTGCACAACATAAATAAGAATTAACATAGATCAATCTGACCAATACTGTGTATTTTACTCAAATAGTAAAATAATATTCTTAGGAATTATTTCCTAAAGTGTGTTTCATAGGGTTTTCAGGAAGGCCAACAAACCTTTTCTGTAGAAGGCTAGGTAGCAGAATACTTAGGCTTTTTAAGTTACATTATCTGTCTTAATTACTTCATTCCACCATCATAGCACAAAAATCGTTATGGATCGGATGTAAACAAACAAGTATGTTGTATTTCAGTAAAACTTTATTTATAAACAGGGTGGCAGTTTGCCATCCCCAGGTCTAAGCCTTTCCAACATAACCTCCAAAAAAGACGGATTCTCACAGCCCAGTGCATTTAGGAAACCCTGCATACCCCCTTCCACCCACTCCCTTGTCCAGATACCAGCACATTTGAAAACTGAGAAATTGGTAATAAAGAATCTTGTTTACCCTAAGTTGCTTAACTGTAGCTGATTACAGTACGCATGTTTTTTGCATTATCTCCTGCAGGTCAAGTCACAGGAAATTCTGTGAGCTGTGAGTTTGTTAATTTCCACAACTGCTTGGCAGAGCTTAGGGCAGTAGCTGGCAGATTTAGTGGCAGCTTCATGGAGCTTAGGGTTGCCAGGGGCCAGTCTCAGACTGCTTTATCTGAAATATGTAGATTTTCAAATGGTCGGAGAGCTCTAGGAGAGCCTAGTATTAGTTTTGCCCTGTTAGATTATTCTCTCCACACTACTCCCATAAGAAAATCATTCAGTTCTCTCTACTCATTTATATTTTTGGGCTATAGCAACCAGTATAAGCAAATAAAGGTAAGTACCAATAAGTTTTAAAAACAAATATTGGTAAAGGTCATTCCTCAATTTGGAAGCCTTGACTTGTGCCCTATTTTTAAGCAATTTTCTGAGTTGAGACCCTCTCTTTGTTATTAGATGTATACCTTTCTCTGCCTCCTGCATATCTGAGCCACAAGAGAGGTTTTCACCCTGCACCAATAGAGAAGGTTAATAGATAACAGTTCTTTATTTTCCAGTGCTAAGAAATCTAAATCTTAGTTTATTATGCTTAGGTTTATAATGGTCTGTTGACTTTAACTTAGAAGAATAAACCAGGTCTCCTGATGAAAGGCAGAATGAGGGGCCCCATCGCTTATTAATTACTTATGATAATCAAATCAGTCATGCTTGGGAGAATAACTGTGAAAAGAAAAAGATATAAATGAGTAATATTCACATTTTGAAAATAGCAGTGGTCTTGAAATAGCATTTACTTCCTTGAGTTTAAATGCGGAAGGTACTACTGCCAACACACATGGGAAAGAGATGATTGCTACCCTTCACTATTCCTGGAAGAGCCCTAGATTTAGGGTCTGCTTTTCCCTTTACCAGCCAGAAGGCAGGGTTTTCATCTCTTTGAACTTGTTTGCTCATCTGCAAAACTGGTTTTTTAAAATGTCCCTACCCAGGATCCGAGAATTGTCATGAAGATCTGTGATAATGTCACGAAAGTCATTTTATAATCTGTTAAATTCTTCAGAAGCCAAACATATGACTGCTATTCCTTTGGAAGCATTAAATATTCTTAGTACTATCAGAAGTAAAGATAGAATCAAAATCATTTTCACAATTGGAAGACATAGTCTGGGAATGTTTTGTTGGTTTTTTTTTAACTGATGGAAAGAAATTGAACTTGTGGACCAGTTCAATTAGAAAGATCTATATTTTTATACAGGAATAAGAGCTGTGAATAATCACCTGGAAATTATGTACATTTGTCTTCCTTTAAAAATAAGCCTATGCAAACAGTCCAAAATTGTACTGTGAGTTAGTGAGTCTGACCATGGTTGTTTTTCCAATTTGTACTGAACATTACATGCCTGTTGGGAGTTTGTGGAAATTTTTAAAATGGCCAACTCAAACCTACGCTGTTAAAGTTCTTTTAAGTCACACATTTTATTAGCTGCTTTGTAAGTGGAGCATGGATGCTGCAAGACGCCTTGACAGAAAGGCATTGAGAAGAAGATACAAAAAAAGTTCGGGGACATGCATACATGCTAAGCAAAATACACCTCTCTGTGACTCCTACCGCATAAAGAAAACCAAATGCAGACTTTCATCTGTCAGCTCTCTTGTAAGAATGTTAGTAAAGGAGCAGAAATTCATCTTGCTCCTTAGATTTTTGTCCAAGTAAAGAGCAACCATTTTGGCATCCTTTTTGAGCTCACCCCAAAACAAGAATCTGACTTAGGTAAATTTAGTTCACTAATTTTTTTCAGTTTTTGCCACAGTATCCAACACACACACACGCAAACACACATAGCCTTTCTCTCAAACAATTGCTATCTGCAAGTAGTTCTGTTTTCCCGTTTTTCAGAAAGCATGGATGTATGCACCTGTCTATAGATAAAAGGAGAAGAGCAACATAAAGCTTACTTCAAAATAACTGGGACTGAAAATGTTAAAAAAAAAAAAAAAAAGCACTCTGACAAGAAAATGCTACCCATGTGTTGAGTTTGCTAAAAATAGAACTAAAAGGATTACTTATCTTTCAGATTTCCTTCTTTCAAAATATGACCCTGTAAGAGAATATAGAGGTTAAATCTTTAGGCTTGATCCGATCAGGTCATTGAATGAATGGGTAGAAGAGCTTTGCTCCGTGGCTGTCTTTCTCTTGAGGGAAGCCTTCCCTCTCTGAGGAGAGAGGAGAGGCTGTGTTTCCGTTGCCACTGAGCCAGATGCAGCCATGGTTGGAATCTTTGTACATCACTGGAAAGTGTCAGTGTATAGCTAGCTGGTAGCACAGCTAAAGATAATCAGCATCTCAGAGACAGATTAAAGATAAGCAGCATCTCAGGATGGCCACGATGTCTGCAGCCCACAGGACTCTCGTGGGCATCCGTCAGCATAGGTCATGGACCACCACCACAGTTGGGCGGGTTATTTGCAACCTTCTTAGAACCACTGAGTATGAGTTTGGGGTCCCATCAAGCAAGTGGACAGCATTCCCACCCGCTGTTTTCTGTCAGCTCATTGTCCTTCAAGGTGGGAGAAGTTCTAGGATTTGTCTAATCCAGTCCGGCTGGGTCCTCCCCTAACCCTGGAGCCCTTTTCCAGACAGATAGTCACTTGGTGTCTACATAAAAATCTCCAGGCATGGGAAGTGCTTGGCTTCATGACTACCTCATCGAGGCTAGAATGGCTCTGGCATATGACAATAAATGTTCCTTCTTGATAGATACACACTGTCAGACCCAACTTCATCACGTCTCTCTTTTCTTTTTCTTCTTTTTATTTCAACTGGGAATTGAACCCAAGGCCTGGGATATGCTAGTGCACTCTACCACTGAGCAATACCCCCAGTAGCTTCATTTCTGAAAATGCATTTTATTCCTTTATGCCAGAGTTGTGCATATGAAAAGTGTTTTTAAAATAATATCTTTTTCCAGAATGACAAAGATGTGAATAACTGAAAGATAATAGACATCTGACCAGAGACACTGAGCAATATTGTAGGTGTTCTGATGTCAAGTATAGACAGGTATTAGACTTGGAATCAGAGCTCCTAACTCTGCTGGTAGCTTGTCAGATGCCTTTAGTCCAGGAGGATTTCTGAATTAAGATCCTCCCTCAGTTGACCTTTCTCAGATTCAGAATTCTTCTTTATAAAGCAAGGACTTTGAATAGCCAGAGCTTTTCTAGAGCTAACACTCCAGAAAACAAGACTCTTTATATCCGTCCTCGTGGAGCCATCTGGTCACCACTGCCTGGATGGTCACCTCGCACCTAGAACAGGCCCTGGAACATAACCCAGGCTTAGCAAATATGCAGGATACAAGGTGCAGGTTGTAAGGATGCAGTAGGAGAACTATGGGGATGAAAACGTACAAACGATATCTTTCGCTGATTAGGACTTTCAACCTAGTTGAGTCTGCACAACATACACATAAGAATGACTTTATTTACTGGTATACCCATATATAAATAATATACAAAGAGTGGTGAAGAACTTAGGAGAGAGAGAGGAATGAACTTCCATTGAGGGATTATGAAGGAAATGGCTTGGAGAGTACACTTTAACCATGCTGGGGAAGCTGGCAAAAAGCATGAGCTCAAGCAGAAGGGAGAAGACAAAGTATGGAAAAGAATTAGTAAAAGTGTTCAGGTGGGCTAGCATGGACATTAAGGAGGAGGCAAGCCTTGGAGAGATGTTCAGGAGGTTCTTAAATTCCATGAGGTTTGGCACTTTATTCTGTGGGTGACGCATTCTTGATGCACAGCCCCCAAGCAAGCAAAAGTTGGTGTGTGGCGGGGTCGAGGAAGACCTTATTCTTTTTATATATAAAGTACAGGTCAACATACAATTCATAAACAAATTTTTTAAAGTATATGTGTGGTATTAACTGTCCATGAAAAAGGAAGTTGGAGGAGGATAATGAATGAAAGTTTTTTTAATGTCACTTTGAACTCTAGATAGATATCAAAGAAACCCAACAACTGAATATGGGGTTAGACCCAAGAACAGACCCTAAAAGAGGATTTCATATCCTAAGAACAGTTGAGATACACTATTTTACTTATGGAATAAATTGCTCTTAAAAATAGGAAGTGTTCTCTTTCTAAAAATCTACCCTCACCCACAACTGTAAAGCAGACATCTTTGAGAGAAGACACAGCTGTATTTGCCTGGAGGTAGCGTCTTGATTAGAATTAATTATCAGAAGTAAAGAATGACTCACCAAGCCATTCCCATCTGTAGAAATGCCATAATTCAAGCACTATGACACTGACCTACATGAGAAAGTAGATAAAGTTTCTTTAATCCCAAGTGCTAAAGGTGGGAGCTAAATGAAAACTATCCTTTTGTCAGCAGTCTCCAAAACAAATGTGAGTCTAATTTTTAACATGGACCAGTTGTTAGAATTGCAATTCACACGTGTTGGACTATCCAGAGATACATAGTTATATGCTCACAAAGGGAATGACTAACTCATTCTTGGGTAGCTGCTAATGGACTCGCTTTTAAAATGATAATTTCTTATCCTAGGCATTGGAACTGAGGGCTAAGAGAAAATGTCCCCTTGTCACAAGTGTGTTAGTTAAACATGCTTGGAATTGGGTTACTAATATACTTTAATATCTAAATGAAATGTTAGTTATATTAGTAATACCTTCGATTATTTTGCTAAAAGCAGAAATAGCGAGTATGTTTTATTATTTTAAAAGTAGACCATTATAATATGCCCCAAAGAAAAAAAAAGTTTCTATTTGAGACCATGCAATATTCAGCCAAAATGTCATATTTTACAGCTACAATATGTTTTGATTAAGTACTTTTTTATTTTTGAGTGCAAAATGAAGTTCATTTCTAATTTGTATACTCACCATCCACTAATATGTTTAAATTAAGTTGCTTTTGCATTCATCTGTATGTTATTCATTTCTAGCTGTTTTTAATTTGCTCAGAATTGACATTTTAACTTTCCAGGCTGCCATCTCTAAGATCTCTTAATTCCTTGATCATTATTCAGTGTGTGTATCATTTAATGATCACATTTGCTTATATAGGCTTACACATGTCTCCGTGGAGATCGCCAGCGGATTTGTTACATGGTAGTGTTTACGACTGAGAACCACTAGGGACTGAATTCAAAGGCAATTTCCCCATTTAACAGAAACACATGGAAGGAAAAGTTCTGTTTTTTCCTTTCTACTTAATAGTCATATTTAGCTCACCACTCGACCCATTCCCACAAAAGTACTCTTTAGTCCCATGCAGAGTTGTATGTAATTGGCTTTACCAAATCGTGAAATATAAAGGACAAATCTTTGAGACACCCCAGTTCCCTTGAGGAGGAAGATGCCAGTTTGGCAGTTTTTCACTTTAGGTTTTTTAGTCTCTGCCCAGGACTCTATTGCCACTGGGGAAGAGTAGTTTGTGGAGGGAGGCAGGTGTCCAGGCATCTCCAAGGTCCAGGGTTTCTGACTTAGCAGGAAGCCTTGTCCGTGAAACAAGCCCAGTGGTGGCAGCCCCAGCCCCCAGGAGTCCTGTTAGTCAAACACAGCTTGCCCAGGGCAGAGCTGCTTTGGCAAAACTCACTCTTCTCCTACAAGATCCAAAAAGAGATCCAAAAGAGAACCTTAGCTCCTTTGCCAAAGTGCTGTCAACTGCACTGAAACAGGAAGGCTCTGCTCAGATGCAGAGTTAGGCTGGGCCCTACCGTGCCAGTGACTTTGGCTGGATGGAACACCCTGAAAATGCCACTGCAAAGCACACAGTGCCAGCTTGGGGAGCAGTGTATGACACAGACCTCCCAAAGAGATCACTGATTTGAGTTGGGGGTTTTGTTTTATCTCTTTAGTCATAAAGCCATTTCTGGGTCTCTCTCTCTTCCACACATCAGTTGGTCAGTCTTTGTCCAAAAACAAAAAGCTGACAGAAGGTAACATCCTTAATGTTTTGTTTCTGGCTAAGTAATTTTTTATAGGAAAATATACCACTGGGTTAATTTTCACACACTGAGCACAACCATTTAATAATCACTTACCAAGAAACAATACATCCTGGGCCTCCCCACAGCTCCCAGCCCACTTGCTTCCCAAGGCAACCCCACTTCTAAAGGCACCTTCCATGAAGCCCATCTTATATCTATGTTTGACCTAAGAGTTTTATGTGAAAACTGAATGTGGGTTTCTTTTCCTAGGGATCTGTTTCTGTGTGTAAACATTTCTCCCATTTTAAATGGCCTTCACTTGGGAGAAAAAGTTCAAAAGCTGACCCTTGCTGATCTGACTTCTTCTTTCTCACCTTCAACACTGACACCCCATTGCACACACTCCTGACTGTAGGGGAGCAGCTGGAAAACACTCAGTTTCTGTACACCCCAGTCCTGTGTCCATTCAAGTGGTGCACTTCCTGTCCCACAGTTTATCTGGTATCTAACTTGAGAAATGGGCCCTATTGCTAATAACCTGCAAACAAAACTAAGAAAATTAAAGTACTGTATCATTTGCCTTTTCTATCTCTTTAAAATTTATTTTTGATTGATATGTATTATTTTACATGATTTATGAAGCACAGTGAATGTTTTCATTTGTTGTATACATAGGCATAGTTAGACCTGTCACCTTAGTCTTTTATCGTTTTTCTGCAGTGAGTACATTCAAATTCCTCTCCTCTAAACATTTTGAACTATATCATGTATTACCTTTAATTATATTCATTCTGCTGTGACACAGAGCAGCGGAATCCTATTGCTTTTATCAAACACCATTGCACCTGTTGACCAACTTCTCCCCCTCCTCACCCTTTCCCTTACCATTTTGATCAATCCCAGTTACTCCCCAGTGGCCCCAGCCCTGGCCATGTCAAGAATTCCATGAGCCTCAGGTCCTTAGTCTGAGACAAGTCCTACATTCTTCTGGCAATGGATTTGGAGACTGAAGGTCCCACCCAAAGACATGTAAACAACATAATCACTGGGTGTGGGCTCCTTGAGTGACCACACTGAAAATTTTTTTCCCATTGACGTTTCTCATTTCTCCGTACTGAGCCACATCACAGCTCCACCTGTGTCAAGCTGCCTTCTGAAGTGTGTCGCTTAAGTCTTCGCTGTTGTCTCGCTGTGGACTTAGCCGATTTATTTACAACTGTTGTGTGCTTCTGCCACATCTGCATTGTCACTGTGATGGTATTTTTCTTTCTGTCTGTTTCTTCCACAGGAGTTTAACCAGTAACCTACCCAATGTGAACCTACCCAATGTGAACCTTCCCAAAGTACCAAATCTACCAGTTAACATCCCTCTAGGCATCCCACAAATGCCTACTTTTTCGGCACCGTCATGGATGGCTGCTATATATGATGCTGAGTGTGTATTCAGTTCACATTAGATCTAATTTAAATTTAAGTGATCTTGGCATGGATATGTATTGTTTATTTCTATACATCCTATATAACAGAGATGGAGATGGATAATTAGACATATTTTGCTGATCATGCAGAGACAATATTGTTTATTTCTGGCATGCATCATGTTTGTAAGACGTTTGCTATATATACAGTACTAACAATTTGTCTTACGCCCACTGAATGCTTGAGGACCAAATTTCACTTCCTGAATTCTTTTGCAGAAGGACCATATCCCCTTTTTAAATGTAGGTGACATGACTCAAGAAGCTAGTCATCCAAAAATAGTTCAGGAAACCTATTTTATGGGCTGGCCAGTCATCTCTGGCTTGATCCAAGTGTAAGAGGGAACACACCTACCTAGAAGCTGCCTTGAGAGCTTTTATTTTAAATAATAAAAATTCTTAGAGATTGTTCAAGCCATAAGGCATATTTCTGTGTTAGCAGAGGCAAGATGTAGTCACAGTATGTTCAAGACTAAATAAAAATTTCTTAATGGATCAAGCCCTAGCCATTTTTTATTAGTCTGTGTTTGTAATACATAATAAATACATTTAGAGTGGAGAATTGATACATATACATATTGCATTTTGACCTTTTTTATTTCACCTTCCACAAGTCCTAGTTTTCTGATTAATTTTCAAGATCAATTTACAGATTAGGCTTTGAGATTGAGGCAGAAAGAAAGTCTCAGAATATAAGAATCAGGATTCAAACAGCAAATAATTAAAAGATTGTTGGTCATGTGATCTGTGGTCGGAGCAGAGGGTCATTCTTTGTCTTCCTTTCTGCAAATGTGTGGGTTGTAAGGGGTGGTATTACCTGGAGCCTGGACTACTTCGTCAGAGCCAGTGGTTGGGAAGAGGGCATTGAGCAGCTGATTCTTCTAGCATAGGAAATGAGTCCTCTTCCTTTTTTTGTCCTTACCAACAAGAAGATCCAGCACCCCTCAATTCTACCTCAGAGAAATTAAATCAGAACCATGTGCGTGATTTAATAAGTGAAATAAAGTTTAGCAATTCTATACTTTCCTTTGATCCTTTTCTTCGACCACAGCTAATTATAGACCAGATAAGCTTTTTCTTAAAAGAATAAATTGGCACATTTTCAAAGGGAAGTGTTATTATCAAAGGAATAAAAAATGATCTGAAACTGGCAGTGATGTTTTGAAATCTTGAAATCACATTCATCAAGATGGCCCACAGCATTTTTATTCTCATAGTAATCCAGGTAGAGAACAGGACATTAAAATGATTTCTCCTTCAAATGGCCTAATATTTTTTAAGACCTATAATTGCTCACAAGTCGCTGTAGAATCATATGGTCAATGTGCCTGGTGTTCTTTAAAGGCAAATTAAAGCCAGCAAAAAAAAAAACACAAAAAAACAGAACCCTAGATCTAAGGAAAAATAAAAGAAAAACATCATATTCATGCTAAGATGACTATATTAAAAGCTAGATTAGGTAGTATCTGTTTAAAATTTAAAAATAAATATCTGAAAGCTTCTCTTACCTTCTTCTGTGCATGCTCTGTGACATTGTCTTTGAAAAGATATGAATCAAGACATTGTAATAAAGCAGATAATGGTCTCCATTCAATTAATTAAGACATGAGTGGGAACACATTTTGGTAACTGCTCAGCAATCAAAATAATCTTGGTGCTATTGCCTTAACATTAACAGTTTATCTTAAAAATAAAAAGAAAATATTCTTTTCCTCATGTCAAAACTTAATAATAAGCTCTTCAAAGAAAAAAAACCCTACAAGAATTTTTTGAAACTCTGAAACCAGATGGGTGTCAAAATGTTGTTGTAATAAATACCAATTATTGCATTCATATGTACTTAATGATTTAAAACATAAACCATGCAGTTCCAAAACGGGGCTTAGACTAGATAAAGTTGGGGTTTCTTTCTTTTTCCCCCAAACATAAGATGGGGTGGGGGAAGGCTGAACTTTTGCAGAGACTCTGCATTCTCCCACTTCTGAACAATGCTGTATCTGAGAAGGCGAGGATTCTGGATCACCCTCCAGGAAATGCCTGATTCTATATCTTTTCATGATTCTAGTTTTCTCCTTTGCCACCTTTCATTTGAAGGACATGTTACCTGCTCCTTTGTGTCAGATACATCTCCGTATTGACCTCAGACTGGTCTGTCCTGAAAACACTACCTTGTTGGTCTGGGTCCTAGGCATCGTCTCGGCATGTTGGGAGTTTGCCCCTCCCCACCCCGCAGTAGCTGTGTATGCATTTATGCACTAGCTATATTTCTCTCTGAAGCATTAATTCAATGCAGCTGGCATCTGTCACAATAGAAACACCCACTCTCATCTGTTTCTATAGACGATGTCAGAACAAGTGGTAATGCATGGTGTGTTGGACATTTTATAAATTACCGTGTTAGCATTAGTGGTATGCGAGGAAGGGGGTGGGAGATGGTCACCCCTCAGAGGTCCAAACGGGACTGTTACAAAAGAGAAAGCCAGCGAGAGAAGAGCAGGATGGTAAGGTCAAGGATTCCCCGTACACAGGCTTTCCATGGATGCCCCAGGTGAAAGTTTCTTAGATGTCATTGTACAGAAAGGAATCAAATCCCACTTCCCCATCTGTACAGAGGACCGGGTAAGATCTTGCAATGAGACGAAAAAGCTCAGGTTTAGAGCCCTGAAGCACTGCAAATTCCCTCATCCACGAAAATTGGAATAATCACCAAACTAAGCAAGAATTTTGGATTCAAGGTACCAAGCTGTTCCCATTTCGATCTAAATCACTCCAGTTTTCTTCCAGCTCTTCAAGAGAGAAAGCAGGTCCTCGCTCACCACTTTGTTAGCACTGTCCTCTTAAAACAGAAAGTCTTGTGCAATCTCCAAGAGGCCTCTGCTCTGGAGGGGAGCTGGGGAAATGCATGAAACCCTGAATCTTAATAACTGCATGTTGTCATGTAGTTATTATCCGTGGAGACTTACTTCTCCCCCCGGCTCATCGCCTTCATCTGAATCATCACATGTGCTAATGTGGTTATTAAAGGAAGGCTGATTTTTACCATACACCCTTCTCCTAGTTGTGATGGGACAACACCGTCTTCAGACCCCTCTCTGGTCTGGAGTAACTGGCTGAGCAAAGCCAAGTAAGTCATGTATGGTAAAACTCAAAATCTGCTGGTGGAGACTGCCCCTCCTCCACAGCCAAAACGCGTCGTGTCGTATGTGGAAGCCAATGTTTGCCCTAAGCCTTCTAGCCCCCAGTTGTGTCTGTGTTAGTTTCCATGGAGCCCAAGACCACTGGGTGACTCCTGGTTTCTACTTTTTATCCTCTCAGTAATGGATCAGGCACCTCAGAAGACCTGTTCTGGAAACTTGATGCCCTTCAGACCTTCATTCGGGACTTGCACTGGCCAGAAGAAGAATTTGGAAAGCACCTGGAACAACGGCTGAAGTTGATGGCAAGTGACATGATTGAATCTTGTGTCAAAAGGTAAGCCCATGTGGCCAGACAGATTTGGCACGCTTTTTCCATTGTATGACAACTCTCAGAAGGGCCCATGACTCTTCCTTTCAAAAGGCCATGATTTGGAGGCTTTTGGAGACAGCCACTGCTCGTTGAAGTCAGCCAGAGGGGCAGCTGTCCCAGTCTCGTTTCAATTCACCTTCCCTTCTTTCTGTGCCACGCACAAAATAATTTGGCTGCCAGTTTTTTGATGACGATTGGCTTCATAAGGAAAACACTCGTGTTCTTTTTGACTCATCTGTGTGTCCCCAGTATCTAGCAATGTCCACCACAAAATAGTCACCTAATACACATGTAGTAAGTGTAAGACTGGGGTAACTGAGTGGGGAAGAGAAGGGAAAAAAAGACATCATTTCAGAACAGGAGTATGCAGCACAGGTAGGGGAATCTAATGATTTGCCGGCATGTAGGCACCACTGCACTGGCTTCCCTTCTGTGCTAGGACCTGGGTGCCTGCTATGTGGCAGTGATTAGTTGTCTCACTCAGCATCTTACTGGGTATCCTCAGGGGGTGAGGCATGGAATATACATTTTGCCTTCCCACAAATTGCCTGTTTGTCACTGTGGCTTATAGGATTAGGGTAGGAATAGAAATTCGGCACTTGAAGTTGCCAGACAGACTGTTCCAAGAAGCTCCAGGGGAGAAAACGAGGACCATATCTGAGCAGTTCCCATGGGCCAGGCACAGAGCTAAGTTCTTGCTTGCAACAAAGACACATCCCTTCCTTCCTGGAGTATCTATAGTATATATCAAATACGGAAATGAAGTCTACTGATTTTACATTGTCATCCTCACCCTGCCTACCCCCACGCACAAATCCAAGTTCCTTTTCTAGTTTATAACTATCCCATTAATTTTCCTAATTGAAAAAACAAAAGTACCAGGAGGAGCACATGCTACTCCAGCTCTCCAGATGTTGTGCAGTTTAGGTGATAGATCAGTTGTGGATAATGGGGGCCGGGATCACTTGGAAATCCTCTAAATCCTTCATTTGATATCTTGGAAGAAGAAAGAGACTAGCATTAAAACCAGAAACAGAAAAGGCAAAAGAACAGCACAACCTCAGGTAAGTGAACACTATGAGTTGGGGAAAAAGTTACGGAGAGTCTGGGCCTCTGATGCTGCTTCTGGAAGCTGGAAATCCTAGTGATTCAGACTTGGGAATTTTTTGTTTTCTCCTTACTGTTAGAACCACAGAAGGGTCTCTTTCTAAAATCTACAGTCAAAGAGTTTCCTTAGGGTTTTGATTTCCAGAATCTCCTATATAGTCTATCTTGATTTTAGGAAAAACAACACATTCCTAAGGACAAAACCATTCCAGCAAAAAAAATAATTCTTCCAAGACACATCTTTGAGGCCAAAAGTTCTTGCCTGATCTGTCCTAGAGGCTTAAACTCATTAGAATTGCACTTTGCAGGTCCTGCTCTATGCACAGAATTACAATTCATCGAGCAGTCTTCTGGGTAAGATACTAGAAATAGGGATATGCTCAAAGAGGGGGAGCTCTGGAGATGTCAGAGGTGGGTAAGACTATTCCACTCCTTACCGCTCCATCACTAAAGTGCAGACAACGCCTAAAGTGGGTGAGTTTCTCTGAGGCAAGACGTGAATATGGTCTCTTCCTGGTACCTGGTACATGTCTATCTGGTCCGGGACTCTTCCATTTCTGATGTCTCTGTCAATGAAAGCCCTAAACATAGGCACAAATGCAGGTAAAACAAAAGCAGGTGAAATATCATCCCTTGACCTCCAACTTTAGAGGATAACATGGAGAAGGTCTCAGATATTTTAAAACATGAAATCTACATTAGAACAGCCAAGAGCCATCTGTTTTTCTCTTTGGACTAAATACATAACTTTTGTTCCAGGGCAATGTAGCAAGGACATAGTTTCCTGTATGTAAATAAGCAATGCCGAAATGTCAGCAAGGCATTCCTCCTGTTGAAATTTTCAAGAAATGCAATTCATTCATTAGAGGTTCACAAGCCTCTGCCCTACTGTGTATCAGGTTTGTGCTAAGCATGTAGGACTCTGCAGGTCTCCCTCAAGGAGAGTCATTTGGGTTAAGTGAACTCTTTACTCCTTGCTTTTGCGTCCCACGAGCTTCGGAGGCATATTAATTTTGCATTCATCTTCCTTTCACAGCCCTAAACTCCAAGGGCTCTGAACAGTTCTTCTGTGAAAACAGAAGACGATTACTTCATTGAAAGAGAACGATTTAGCATTTCCATTTCTCAAATTGGGCCGGAACTGGCACACAAGCCTCGGAAGATCAGCACCAGGGCCTGTCCAACACGGCCCCCGGCAGGCCTCCTTTTCACAAAACTAGAAAAGGATTATTTTCAGCATAGCTTAAAATGATCATCATGATTAGAAAGCTACTTCAGTGCACTGAGTCTTTAGAAGCCAAGATACATTTATCTTTAACATGATCATATAATCTATAAGGGTGTTTTGCGGGTTGGGTTTTTTTTTTTTTCCTTTAATTTTTTTTTTTTCCCTAAGAACTGGGCTTCCAACCTTAGAAATTATACTTGGCTTTCCTGCATGCACTCAGGGTATGTTAGCAAGCTGGCATCCTTTCCTGAGCTAACTAGCTATGTGGTCCTCCTATGTACTGTTAGAAAACTGCTACGAATTCCTCTTAAAGCAGCGCTTTTCCTGGGGGCCCATGAGCTCTAGAACCTGATGGGGAACAGTGCTGGAAAGATGCATTGGATAAGGAGGGCTTGAGTAAAGCCACTAGCTCATCAAGTGCTTTTTTGTAAAGATACGCAACGCTGTGACCCACTTTTCTACACCCTTTTAAAACATAACCAGGCCCTTTTACAATGCCGTTGTCAAGGATCAAAACTTATTGCTGTGTTACCACCTGACCAGAATGGAATAGGTTTTCCCTGTGAGTGGATAAGACATTGTTGATGTCATAATTTACCTCCATCAGAATTAGGATTTCACCATTAAACAATTCGTGGATTGTATATTACGTATGTTACCTACTGGCTATATATTGTAGTCATACATTAAATACACTATGATGTTTTGATTATGAAAATGATATATTCTTATGGGAAAGTAATACACTGACATGGAAAGCAAACACACAAACCTAGTGGGAGTTCCCCAATGCGGCACCTTCTAATTTCACTCCCTTCTCCAAAGGTATCCATATTCAACAGCATGATGCATTTCCTCTTTTATGATCCTTTAACAGTAGCAAAAACTATTATTTTTAATCGTGAAGGCAAAGTAATAAATTTGCTGGACTTTTTTTTTCCTTTCAGTCTCTTTCAAAACCAGGGAAAAAAAGCAAGAAATGTCATTTAACAATTTTTCTACCATGAGGTTTTAAAGATTAGGAACTGCTTTTTTGTGTTTTGTTTTTTTAATGAAGTGATTCAAGGTAGGCAGTTGCCAACGTGAGAGAACTTACATATGCTATAATGCTATAATCGGGTTTTTGTTAATTCATTCATTCTCCTGCAATTAGGGTTCTCCATAGCATGAAAACTATAGACAGAAATACACTGAGCTACAGGTGTTCCGTGTACCACAGAGAAAGGAAAGTTGTGCGTGGCTGTCTCTATGAATAGGCCTTCCTTAGATGGGGAAGTCATTTAAAAGAGAACACATGTGAAGTCATTGTCGCTTGAAACTGATTACAGCCTTCAATTTTCTTTTTTCACTGACCTCTCAGAAATTGTCTCCTCCACCTGCTGCCATCTGAGCACTGAATTGGTCTTTCCCTACTTTGTTTTAATAGAACCAGGATTGCATTTGAAGTTAAGCTGCAAAAAACCAGTCGATCAACAGATTTTCGAGTCCCACAGTCAATATGCACCATGTTTAATGTTATGGTTGATGCCAAAGCTCAATCAACAAAACTTTGCAGCATGGAAATGGGCCAAGAGGTAAAAAAAAAAAAAAAATTGTTTTAAAGAATTTTTTTTTTCTCTCACCATTGATCATGTCGGAAAAAACTTCACAAATCTCTTCCATCTACCCTAATCTCCTAGTTTCGGAAGTACACTCTTAACATTTGTAGATGAAGCCACAAATAAGTGTTCAGTATCTGTCAAGTAAATTTCTAAGGCATGTGCTGGAGAGAGTGCCAGCCACTTGGAAATGATTCTTGGCTGGAGTAGGGCTGGCCGGAAGGTTCTTTTAAGCTAAATGAAGTTTGCTGACCTTACTTATTAGGCTTGTGTCACCGACAGACTTGTGTTTGCCGTATGTAAGTCATCCCCACATTCAAAGTGCATGTTAGCACTAGGAACATCTGGATAGCAGAAAGGCTTCTTTTTTTTTGCCTCAAGCAACTTCTAGGATGCATGGTGTTATAGCACAGTGCTACCCATTCCCCCACTGGCAAGCTCAAAATGTCCAAAGAACTGCGGGCCTTCAATTTTCCGTGGATTGAATTTATTGTGAATCTTCCCTGACCAAAAGTTTTGTCCCTTGCTAAGTTTCCAATTCCAAAGCAGTATTTAAAATGTAAAAGAGAAGGAAGCAGCAACTTGGGCTTGATTAAAGACTATCATGATCATTTTTCTCTGATGGCCTTAAGCCAGCTAGATATTCATATACCAATTTAGAATTAATTCAGAAACATTTCTGGCAACTCTATGTTGTTGCCAATTGGCATAAATTGCTCCTAAATCAGATCTTTCGATACCAGCCTTCCATGCTCAGAATTTTTACTAAATTATATTTGCTCCGTATTCGTTATTTATTTTCTCTTTCTGCACCTTCCATTTTTAAATGTGGGTTGGTGGTATTCTCTTCCTGGCACGATCTTCTCCAACCTTGCTTCTCCCACAAGTGAGTTTCCTCAGCCACGCCCTGCTAGCTTCTGCTCCTGCCGAGCTGATTTTCCTGCTGTGCCCTTCCCAGGGCAGTGGGTTCTCTGCACTACAGTCAATTGCAGTGGCCCTTGGGTCTCTTTCTAGCACAACTTGCTGCAATGGTATGACCTGGATCCTCATTTCTCAAATTTCACTATGCATCACACTCATGCAGAGAACTTATGACGACCCAGACTGTTGCACCCCACCCCAAGAACTTCAGCCAGTTCTGGGGTGTGACATAAGAATTCACATTTCTGACCAGTTCTCTGGTGATGATGGGGAACTGCAAGTCTGGAGGCTCAGTCTCCAAAAAGGAGCCCTTCTAATGCTGCTGAGCGAAGGCCTCAGTGGTGTGCTTGTACAGCTGGACTCTTGCTGTGGTTCTGAAGCAAACTGGAGTTGGACGAGTCAGTTGGCTTCTTTGGGTCTCGGTTTCCTTATCTGTAAAATAATAGTACTATCCTAGCTTTCTCCCACCTGGTTTTTGTCATATGTTTAGCTCTGAGTTTTCTTTGGTGCTGGGCCTTGAGCCCAGGGATTGCACATACTGTACTAGGCAAGTGCTCGGTCAAGGAGCAACCCCTGCTCAGCCTGGCTTTAGCTGCAGAGTCAGTTCTTCAAAGCTGACAGAGAAAGCCAGCATGTGAGACAGGTGAATACAGAGCTGATGTGGGGAGCTGCAGAAGAGGGCCCCAGAGCCAAAGCAGGAGAGCTCCTCAGCCCCTCTGCCCCTCTTTATACCCGTGGCCCACCTGAGCTTCTTCAATGCAATGCAGTCTCCTAGATGTTACAGAACCCACATTCTAAACCTTGTTTTGGGAGATCTCTAAAACTCATTTAAGGATCAAGTTTATACTTTCCAGAATTCTGCTTTGCTCCTCAGAGAGCTATTGCTGCTTTTTATTTAATTGATCTATATTTCACATTACATACATTTTAAAGTATATAATTCATTAGTTTTAGTATATGCACAAACTTATACAGCCATCACCAAAATCAATTTTTAAATATTTATCCTAGAGAAAAATCAACTACCCACTGACAATCACTGTCCTTGCCCACTCACTTCTAATTCTGAAGTAATCATCAGTCTACTTTCTATGTATTTGCCTATGTATAAGGAAATTTCTGTTCTGGAAATTTGTCATACAGTACTTTGTGGGTCTGGCTTTTTTCACTTAGCATAATGTTTTGTTTCATCCATATTGTAGCATGTGTTGGTTTTTTCTATCTATGGCTGAATAATACTCCATTGTATTGATACATGCATTTGTTTATACATCAGCTGAAGGACATCTGAGTTGTTTCTACTTTTAGCTTTTACAAATAATGCTGCTTCGAAGATTCATGTCCAAATTTTTATGTGGACTTAGATTTTCAGTTCTCCCAAGTATGTATCTAGGAATGGAATTGCTGGGTCATATAGTCAATCTGTGTGTAACTTTTTGAGGGAGTGCTAAACATTTCCATAGTGGCTGCACCGTCTTACATTCCCACTAGCAGAGTATGAGAAGTCTGATTGCTCTGCATCTCAGCCAAATACAGTTCGCTCTGATTAGGGTGTTCAGGGTTGTTTGACATCCTCACATGTCCTTATGGCCATTGGTATATTTCCTTTGAAGAAATGTCTATTCAAATCATTTGCTCAATTTTTAAATGGGGTTGTTTGTATTTTATTGTTGAGTTGTAGGCACTATACCACTCTGTATCTGATTTGCAGGTCCTTTCTTTCATTCTGTGCTTTGTATTTTTCACTTTCCTTATAGAATAAGAGAGTGGGATGGAGAGAGGGAGAGAGGGAGAGTGAGTTTAGGCTTGATAAAGTCCAGGTCATCTAGTTCTCCTCAGAGATTCTTGGGGCAGACATTTAGCTGAGTTTCACCAGGGTGATGGGTGCTGTGCTGAGGATGGATTGATACAGTGGGACCGACTGGCCTCTGTCTCCAAGTCATTTTACAGTCTGCTCCAACTTGATTCAGTGAGGTCTTACCTAAATAGCACCTCCATTCCCAGTCAGATGACTAAACAACCCTTCCAAGGAAGCCAGATTACTCTGGCCATAACTTGTTTACTTTGATTTAGGGGTTTGTGGGGAATAGAGGGAACAGGAGGGGTGATCATTGAAACACTACTGAGAATGTGGTGAAAGTTATGAGACAATAATTCTACTGTATAGGAAGAAGATTCTTGAAATATTCCTGTCCAGTCTCAGTGGCTGGTGAACCTCCTTAAACCAAACCGCAGATCCTGACTGGTGGTATGTGATAAGAATTAATGAGTTGAGCTTTATTAGTTCAGTGATCCAGTCCCTCATCTTTACCACTGATCACTTCTGTGCTAAAGGATGAAGTCTCATTTCCTAGAAGAACAAATTGTTTAGCATTCTAATCACTTTATCCTATGAGCCTTCATCTTAGCTACCAAACTATGTGACCTTGACCGAGTCATTTACTCTTGTAACTTTACTGCCACCATCTGTCAAATGAAAACATAGCATGCAATGTACCACCAGGGAGAGATGAGTGGGTAGTGTATTAGAGTTGGAGATAAATTCTCCTAACTTCTGGATATAAGATTAGAAAATTGTCTTAGATTTATCCAAATAGTTACATGTGGTCTATGGTTGAGGCTAAATGACAGCACCTATTTCTTTCTGAATATCGTTCTTTTTTGATAACGATTACATGTATTTCTATCATTCAACTCAATATATTTAATGAAAACAGCTAAGACTCATACACATTTCTTGGTCTGTTGAAAAATGGCATACACACACACACACACACACACACACACACACACACACACATACCACAACTAAATATCTTTATTAAGGTTCCTCCCTTCACTGCATTCTAATCTGTGATTCTTATTCCAGGGATATCAGTCTTTCCACACACTGTTAAAAAGACCTGTCATGACATTTCTCCTTAGTGTAAGTGGATCAGAGACACCTTAGGGACCAGCTTGTGGGAAGTGATGCCTTACTGATTTTAGACAGCTAAATGGCTGAGAATGGTCAGAGTGAAGCCAGACATGATTGTACTTCCTTTGAGATGTGGCACCATGACTGTGACCCCAAGGAGAACTTCAGTGGCAAATTCACATGGCAATGGATCTTCCTTGACATCTCTTGCTTTGTAGAATGGGGATATTCATAGCTAAAATAAAACCAATTTTTTAAAATAGAACTAACCAAGGAGGACTGGAAGCAACCTAAAATTTGAAAAAGAATAGATACAAGATCAGTGTTTTTAATGCACTTGGTGAATACTGTGTATTAAGCCTCTGTGTGATAGATCTAGTTTCCAGTACCAGCCACCACCTGTCTTCCACCTCCCTCAACCTGTTCTAGACTAGATCCTGGTGAGGTAGTATAATCTCCAATTTTAAGATCACTTCCTGAATTTCATCACTGGGATAATGTCTCATCTAAAGGCAGCTGCTGAGACATTTGTTAACCATACTTTTCTATCTTAAATATTTATTTTTTCATTAAAATTTGTGAAGTACCAATAGAGAGGAAATTGTGTATTAAATAGTTTCTCACTTGGTCTAGTGTGTTTTCATCTCATTTCCAAGGTCAGATGGTCTTAACAGAAAGACAACATACACACAATCTGTTCCATGACAAGGCAAAATGTGCAGCCCAGGAAGTCAAGTAGAATATTTTTCATGTAGCGATTATGAAATTACAGCAACTTAACCTATCTGAAGTGAAAGCAAACTCCCCAAACTTTCCATGCCATTGAAAAAAATCAATAGTTTCCCTGGTAGCTACTGCCATAATCTGGTACCCAGGACATAACGTAGGACTACAGGTCATGTGAATCTAAGAAGACTAGCAGAGAATGAAAAATGTGTTTCTACCCATACTGCAAGAATTTTATGACAAATCAATCTAGTAGCAAAGTGGTAATTCAAAGATGGTCTGGTAGGGTGTATACCAAGGGGCTTCACATCTACCCAGAACAAATTATCTCTTCAGAAAGAGCAAAAAAGTGAAGGCAGAATACTTACTGTTGCTCCATTAAAGCAAATTAATCAAATAGGTCACATACACAGGAAAATCCTGCAAAAGGGATTTATGTACCTCATACACTTCAGCAGAAACAGGGACTCCTAGCGACTGCTTTGGTATTTAACCCTTTACCACCTGATGAGCTGAATAATTATTACCATGCTGTCTGCCCCAAGATAATTTTTATTTTAATTAGTTTAATTTGATTAAGACACAATTTACATAAGGCTGTCTCAAAGTAAAAAATTAAGAGCTGGGAATCAGCTCAAGGCAAAGTCCCAGGGTTCAATTCCCAGTACCAGAAAAAAAAAAAAAGATACAGTTTACATACAATAAAATTTATTGATTTTAGGCAAGTTTAAAGAAATGCATATATCCATGTAATCACCATGTGAACTAGGTTGCAGCAGTAGTCTGAGGAGCATGATAATGCCATATAGCACTCCTGAGCTTCTAGATCATATTCCCGTGTATTGTTTGGTGTAATATGTGTAGGTGACTCTAATTTCTACACTCACCACAGGGATAATTCTAGGTTCACTGTTTATTTCAAAAGCATCAGTGGGAGGACAGCATGCTCATGATTTGAGAGCAGAGATTGCATTTGTATTGTGGAGCCACCTGACGAGAAGGGAAGGCCAGCCCAGACATGGACAGCACTGAGATCGTAGGGGTTTCCATAGACCTCCATGACTCCATATGTCACAGTGTTCCTGATGGGTCTCCACGTAAACATAGCTCCCTGGTTCCAGAAAGGAAAACTCTTCCTCTCTAGTGAAAGAATAACATCCTTTGCGCCTCAGCCCAAGGCAGTTCATCTTTCTTGGTGTGTGGAGAGCAACCACTCTTGTATCTATTTACTACTTCGGCTAGGACTTTCAAGAGAATGTTTCTATTCTCAAAAATGTTCTTTGGTGTGGTCAGAAGCCCTTTAATGTTGGATATTACATAATTTTGCACACTGCAAGCTTTTCCAATTTGGCTTCCTCCCATAATTAATAAATGTGACTCATGTATAGCAATCCACAGTAAACTTCCCGGAGGAGGCAGCCACATAACCAGGAAAGCAAGGATGTGATTCTGGATCTTATCTCAAGACCTAAAATGAATTGGAACCCCTGTCAATATTCCCGAGTTCTTCTGCTCTGACATCTTTCCTTGTGTTTTTGGCACAGAATTCTACAAATAATTTTTGTTTGATTGTTTGTTTGTTCGTTGCATTTAGCTTCAGGTTTGTGTCGCTTAATAAGTAAATCCTTTCTTGAATCTAGCAAATGGTCAATGTAGGTTCTGACTCATCAGGACTCTATAACATGAACAATTTGCTTGTTTTTTTTTTTTTTTTCTCTAACTAACTAAAATGAAGAGGATGACTAAGTCATAAGATTCTTTCTCTGTTTGCTTGTCGACTACTTGGTGAACTTGAACAAATGTTCTAACTGTAAGCATAGTTGACAAAATGTTTTCACATCTAGACCCTCACTAGAGCCTGAAAACTTGAGTCCCAGGGAAGGATTTAGGCACAGGGCTTTAAAACAATCATAGAACAGACCAGCTGGAAATCTTTTACTAATCATACATATTCATGGGAAAAAATGCAATTCTCTAACACACACGTATATGTTGTATAATGCTCAAATAAAAGTCTTTTGTGAGAGAACATTCCATACCTTCTCTTCTGACCATTTCAAATTTTGCAGTTAAACATCTTTATAAAGGGTTTGCTTATTCCCTTCCCCAAATCAATAATTTATGTTGAGCTCTCTTGTCTTTTTGGTCCTGGTGGTTTTATTACTTGTTTTGTTTTCTTTTTACAGATAAGGAAACTAAGCTAAATTTTTGTAGATATACATGACTTCTTAGGTTTGCACTGGGGCTTTATCCAGGTCTTCCAATTATAAACCAACCTCACAGCTCTCTGTTCATTCTCCATAATTCCGATTGCCAGTTACCAGAACATTAAACAATATTTCTGTGGCTTATATCTGTACATTTTATTTGCTTTTTGGATGGTCTATGTAATTTTTATTTTTCATGTGTCCATTTGTCCTAATTTTTATTTGCACTGTTCTTTTTCCTTTTTTTTTCTGTTTCTAATTAATCATCCTTCTGAAAGTTTGCAAAAGAGTGGGTAAGTGCATTTTTCCCTTCCAAATAACAATGTTTTGCATTGTTGTTTTTTTATTAAGGAAATACAGAATAATTCAAGTGGATACCAAGATAATCTAATAAATGTCAAGGAGCTGGCATATAATATTTTGTGTTGAAATCACTTTTTCTTTTCCCCTGGCATTTACAGCAGATTTTTGTTTGTGTAGGGGTTTGTTTTCACATTACTATTTAAATTTAATCGACAGCCACAGATAGAGAAATTGAAACACTTAGCTGTGGTCTCAGTAGAGGCTCAAAGTCTGATTCTGCTTAACCCGGAATGGAGACAATGGTTACTTGCCTCAAGGGCTCAGAAAGAGACACTTGGCTTGGACACTGAGTTAACCCCTGGAGGTACAATTAAGGAGTTCTGAGGCTTGAACCCAAAGCACTTGAAGGTTTCAGAACAATTGTTGCAAATTCAGTGTCTTGGTCAAATCTCCTTTGGAAGGCTCCCGCTACCCAAGCCACATCTCCCCTGCAGTTTTCTAGAGATCATTTTTCTCATCTCCTTTGTTAGATTATTGTGGTGACTTGCTTTGCAAAACCCAGAGCAATGCACAGCTAGGCTGTGAAGCCATCGGTGTGTTCTATTTGTAAACAAGTGTGCATCTACACATATCAAAGATATCTAAAGCCTTGGATAAGAAACAGTGAACAACAAACCTGATGATACTTTTTCTTTATTTTTGCTTAAGGAGCTTCAGATCTCTTTCTGTCAAAGATCTGGAGGCAGCATCTTACAGATGCTTCTAGAATTATGGAAATAAACTGTGTCTGCAGGCCAAGCATTAAATTGTGTAGTCTACAATTTAGGGACAGATGCAGCTATCGCCTCCCAAACATGCTAATATTTGTCTTTTTGTGTTCTTTAGCATCAATACCACTCAAAAATAGACGAGCTAATTGAAGAAACTGTTAAAGAAATGATAACACTCTTGGTTGCAAAGGTAACCTTCAGCTTCAGGTGAAACGCTTCCCTGTGACAATGCTCGGTTGTGTCCACATTTCCATTAAAATGTAACACGTTAAAAAGTTGTTCTGGATCCTCACGTCTTTCAGAAAACAAGGCTGTGCATCATCCAACCGCAGCTCAGAATGATTTTCTGATGACTGTGAGCCGCGTGAAGATGAACTGATGAAGTGGCATATGTTAACTTAATAAGAATTTGTCCCTAAACGTTGCACTCGGTTACGCAGGAAATGTTTGTTTTGTTATTCAGCGCTGACAAAGTTAGATTTTGAAACACAGAAAATTAAACGGTAATAAGGAATTCTGCCATCATGAAAACCCCTTTTCCTCTAGTTTCACATGCAGTGAGAGTCATAATAAAACATAAAAGTCAGATAAAGCTATTTCAGTCACCCTCATGAATTATAGAATTTTAACTAAGTAATGCTGAATGAGAAGACATTTATATTTGCCAGTGCTAAACTTCTGTTTTCCCAAAATTACTGATAAAATACAAATAAAAATAGATTGGATTAAATGTAGTGCTAATATGTAACATAAAAACTGCTTTGCGCAGTTTTGGATTTTGAAAAGTGCATTTAATATTATCGCATGCTATATGCAACTCAATAATATTTTGTCACTTTGCACTTCTGTAACCCTCTATATTTGCAATCACATAATAATGAAGAGAAAGCCGGATAAGTCAAATATTTCCCTGCGAAGGCAGTCTCTTCCTTTCTCCAAAGGTAGGCATCAAATAGAGGAGGCAGAAATGAGCCGAAGGCTCGGCTTCAAGGCTCCCTCTCTGTGTGGTTGGGAAATATTTCTTTTTATTGTTAACGATGGTAGTTTGAAATAATAATTCTTTTTCTTTGTTGTTGTTTCACTAGTTCATTACTATCTTGGAAGGAGTACTGGCAAAATTATCCAGATACGACGAAGGGACTTTGTTTTCTTCTTTTCTGTCATTTACCGTAAGTAAAGAAATTCTTTCCTGGCTTTTGTTAGAGATTTGGTTTTAGCTTTTGGCTTTGGTTTGCAGGAGAGGTGCTGTTGTGTGTATGTGTGTGAATTGTGGTCAACTGTTAGTATATAATATGAACACTAGGAGAGAGTAAGCGGGACATTTCATAACAGCAGGTGATCCAGCATATTACACTCTCATCTGTGAGTGTACCCTGTGCATATCTATTCATACACGCACACACACGCACACACACACATTCCCTATATGCATGCATCCATGGAATTGCCCGACTCTGCCCACCTTAGCTCTCTCAGGCACAGTGCTCAAAAGAGCCAACTATTTCCACACCTGGAAATGAGGAATTAACATTAGAGCACAAGCTCTGATGGAGACCCACAGTTTCTAAGGGGCTGCACATATGTTTCATGGGGTCCTTCCTTGCCAGATACATTTTTCTTAACTGTATTAGTTACTTGCATGTAAAAACTTCCTTTTTTAAACAAGAACTTCTGAAGAAGTCTGCGTTTGGGGATGGATCTGTCTGGCCCTAGCCTGCTGCAGCCCCTCCTGGTGGTGAACACAATGCAGATCTGCTGGGTCCAGGCACCATCTGCATTCACTACCTCTGGAGCAGATGGCCAGCCTGATAAATGCTAAGGACCAGGCTTTATGAATGCGAAGGGCTCTCAACTCTGTGCCCAAGATGGGCAAAAGTGAGGTTGGAGGTAGAGAAAAGCCGGCGCATTTCTATGGGTGAGCTGTGCATGGAGAGCTCACTGTAATGGGATTGCTTTGGGGACCCAGTGATCCTATTCTTCCAGGCCCCGGGCAACTGCCGCCACTGCTTTTTCCCTCCTATTTCTGACCTCAGAGCTCTTGCTGGTGCTGAGCTATTTTCTTTGGCAATGAATAGCAGTGACAGGGACCTGCTGTCTCTGGGTCTTTGTGAATGATAGCCTTCCTTATTGGAAGCAGAATCTCCCAGATGGATACCAAGTGCCAAGACAAGGCCCAGCACAGGGAAGCATGCAGCACACCATCATCTTTGGAAGCCAGTAGGGCTGAAAATTAATCCTGTCACATTACCCGGCTGTGTGATCTTGAGCAAGTATCTCACCCTCTCTGAACTTGTTTCCTCATCTTTAAGGAAGCAAGGGGTAAGATCTTCCATAATGAGATAATAATGTAGCTGAAAGGGTTTAGCATATCCCCAGCTTATGGTACATCTTAGTAAATGGAAGTTATTATCGCTAACAGGTAACTCACAGGATTACTACAAGATACAAACAATGGGCCCACTTCTTCCCAATCTACACTACTTTGGGGCTTTTTCCCCCCAGCCCATACTTCAGTGTGCCTGGGAATTAAGGCGAAACCTGTTCAAGACATTTACAACAGGTTCTAGTCTGCATATCTACAGGGCCAGCTTGTCCAGACGTGCAGCTCTTGTCCTCTCAGGCATAAGGATTGACTCAGTCTCAAGAGTATGGTAGCCTCATACTTCCTGGAGGTTTTTTGGTGAAGGAGGGGTAGCAAGGGGACAGTGACAACAAGAATTCCATCCAATTTTACTCTGCAGAACCACCCTTCACATGTTACAACCAAAAGGAAATTTGTCCAACCTATGCTTTTGACAATGAAACCAAGACTCAGAGAAGGAGAGTGATTTGTCTGAGGTTGCACAGCAATGAGCAGAGTGGGGACAGGGACCCAAGCCTCCTACCGACTCTGCCGCCACCGAACGGCTTCCTGGAGGGAGTGGGATTCGGCTGGCAGTTGCCTGGCACTAGAAGGCAGATGGGCAAGTGAGTGGGGAGGATTCAGAGAGAAGGATTCAGGGCACATGAGTGGGAGATATTAGACAACGTTTCATTCCATAGTGAAGTCATGGAAATGGTGACAAGGGGCAGAAGTAAATGCAGCGTCTCTGGAGAACATCCTCCTCACACGCATAGAGGACATCACTTTCTCAGAGACTTCATTTTGAGTCTCTGTGTTGACTGTATTGAACCTGAACCTGTGAAACCCAGGAAAGCCCCATCTCAGGTCGCATTCTAATGAGTGATTTACGCAGGGGACTTGCAAGGTGCAATCGCAGATAATAAGCACAGGGGACCTGGGAATGCCCCCAGAGAGTGCCCAGAACAAAGATCCAGAGTGTCCTCAGCAGGAGTTTCCCAGCTCAGATCCCAGTAAGAGCCGTCTCTTCCCCTAGATGCTGCAGCCTCACTGCCTGCCTAGCAGAGAAGGCATCCAAATGTAGAGTGCTTCCGTGCCACTGCTGGGCCTGTAAATCCCCTCCTTGGTGACACTCTTCCCACACACTTGGCCACCGAGGCCCAAAGCACCCACTTCTCATTTGCAGCCTCTGTCTTGTCCCCTGCCAATTTTCCCATCTTAGAGAAGGTGAGCTGTGCCTGGGGGTGGCAGGACCATCCCCGTGCAGAGTGGAGCTCCTGCCCACCTTGCAGAGCATGTCGCCTGCCCAGGAGTAGAATAGAGGTGCAAAGGGTTAGGTGGAGGTGGCAGGTGTTGTGGGCAAACCCTGAAGCCAGTGCGGGAGCCAGCTGTGAGCCCAGGACCCTGGACCAGGTCGCAGAGACAGTGTGGCAGTCTGGCAGGGTCTCTATCACCCCACTCCCATTTCTGACTCCATTCTTCGAGTATTACTGTGCACTTACCACGTCCCCACCTCAGCAGGGCTGCCAGGGATGAGCCATGTGCTCTGCCCCCCAGAAAGCTGACGGGTATCGACAAATGTGCCACCCTTTCCCCCTCTCTCTCCTGCTGAGCGCCTCCTTTCCTGGGTGGGCTTGATTTCATGGTCCAAGCCAGACATTTTGGAAAACGTCTGCAGTGGCACGGAGCAGGCAGGAATATTTATTTCTCGTCTCCATCTGCACTGCTTCCTCTCTTGGAGAGGAGTTGGGGGAGGAGGGAGGATGAGATGTGGCTTCCTCGTGCCAGCCCGAGAGGCGCCCAAGCGCATCCTCCCCTCCTCCCTCAGCAGCCTCAGCAGCAGTAGCAGCCGGGATTGATGGAGGCAGGCGCCTCAAGAACTTTTGAAAGATCAGCCCAGTTGGAAGACGTAATTAGCAACTATCCGCCCATTTCTCTTGCTTGCAAGATGTGCTTTTGTGGGGGATGCCTGTTTGGAAAGGTCCCCTCTGCGGGCAGCCTTGCACTGTTCTTTTAGGAGGCCCAGAAGGGGAGCAGCAGGTGGCTGGGTCCCAGAAAATTCAGGTACTTTCCTCAATCCTGGCCATGTGCTAATAAATATGCTGGTTCTGGGATCCATTTCTTCCCCCACTCACTCACTCACCAAGCATATATTTACTAAGCACCTGGGCATAGCACACTGCACTAGGTGTAAGGGACACAGCAAGGAGCACAGAAGGCATCCTCTGTCCTTCTGGAGCTGCCACTTGCTTAAGAAGGCAGGAGATGCCAAAGGAAAGAAAGTGATCAGTGGAGAGGGTGGGGTCCATAGGTGAAGAGCAGGTAACATGGTGTCACTGTAGCTGGGATGGTCAGACAACATCTCTGCAAAAAAGAGCTGTAGGTTGAGGTTGTAGGAGAGGGAGAGCAAGGAAGGAGAGACTTCTGAAGACCAGAGCAGCTGCAGTAGCCATGGCAGGAAGGGGAAGCATTGCAGGTGCTGTGAACAGGGCTTACCGATGGTGTGCTGCGGTATGACACGCCTGGAGAGGGCAGAAGTGAAGGGCAGGAGAATGGAAGGTTGGAGCATGAAAGGGAGTAAAGCATAGCAAGATGGGCAGCCTGAAGAGAAAGGCCTGGGATAGGAACCTCGTTCCGCCCCTGACCATGGAGCTGAGTGATCTCCAGGTCACAAGGGATGTGCGTTGGCTTTCTCTTTCTTTCACTGTCCTATGACCACAGTTGTATGAGATGACTTCAGAAATCAAACATGACTACGAGAACACTGTTCCCATTCCTTAAGCCCCTGCTTAGTTCCTGGCACAGAGCTAAGCGCTCTTTTGTATTTTTGTGGGACCCTCAGGACAATTCGATCCAATACCGCTCAACAGCACAGGACCGAATGGAGACCAGGGCTTAAACCCCAGCACGCCTGAGTATTTCCTCCACAAAACTCCATCTCTAAGAGTGGCCCAACTGTCACCCCAAATCAATACTGACTTCTCTGAAGCCCCGTTCAGTCAGGACCTTGCCATCACCATAGCCAGTGGAGGTGGTCACAGCACAAACTTTAAAGCTTCTCAGGACGGGGAAGCAAGTCTAGTTGTTTTAGGGTTCTCAGGAGCCTCAGGCCTACTCCAGCCTGCTAGGTCTCAAATTACCCTCATTCACTTTTTTTCCCCCTCTTGCCACCTGATAGCTGCTTTGGCACTTAGAAATAAAACAAAGTAAGCTCCTTCTCCCAGAATCTGTGACAAAGGCTGGCGTTGTGGCCATTAGTAATATTCACAGCTTTTGATGCAATGGTTATTGTGGTCCAAGTTAGAACTGAAAGAAATTTAATTCTGTGCATAGGATCTTTTAGTAAAGAAGTTATTCTAATTGTAGAACAGAATGAGGGCTCGTGAGGGTTTGCTAGTGTCTTCTCAGCTTGTGTCTCATTCTTCGGCAGTAAGGAGTGCCCAGGATAGCCAATGGCTTGCCGTAGTGTGGGCTGCTGATGAAGGACAGACAGACGTACGGGTCCACCCTCTGGGGAGTAACAGCATCAAGTTAAGGACTGCTGAGCTCTGTGATTGCTCGGTTGGCTGCTACATGTGGGAATGAAGGTACCTTATGGGACACAGCACTGAGCATGCACTCATGGCTGACACTGCTGCCCTGTGTCTCTTCATCTTTAGTCTATGTAACAGGTTCAGTTACCATACTCATTAAATAAGAGATATTGAGTAATTCATTCAAAGTCACACAGTTACTGAGACTTCACCCCAAATTTACTCCTTTATCATGGCCAGAATATAATTCCCCAACAATACACAAGACGTAGAAAGACATTCATTGGCTCTCCTA